CCGGGGACCCGGGCCACTCCTGGACGGTTTACCCACAATTCCACGGAGCAGAACTATTGTGCAGTGACCTTTCTGTCTCAGAGGGCAATGCCGTTAAACATCTCGATGAGACTGAAGCTGCCTGGAGGGGGCAGCGGGGAGAAGGAGAGCGAGAGCGAGGGTGAGGGGCCTGTTGGCAGATTAGGAGTTATCGACGCTTTCTTGCATTCTGGGGGGCAATGAGTCCGTGTCTCTGTAGACATATTATGAAATTACCGCTCCTGGGTGAATAACATTTCACAGGATTTAAGATTAAGCAGGAAATGGGATCGACGACTCCGTCCTTGCAGGATCTTGGTGGGTTCCCTTTAGACCATGAAGGGGAAATCCCACTGGTTTGTGTTTAGTGGAAGCAATCAGGTTCCTAAGGACAGCCCTTCAATGGCAGCTCTTCGTGCGGAGGCAGGACCTGCAGGACCGTGGGATAGACACATGGGGGAGGGGTCAGAAGCTGCACCCCAGTGGGGCCAACAGAGGGGAGTGAGCTGGGCCTGCCTCAGCTGTGCCAGCCATGCCCTCCCTGGGCTGGCCAAGCTGTGTACTTAAGCTCAAAGGGGGCTTAGGGGGGGTCACCCCAATGTCCCCGGGGCAAGCTGGTGAGGAGGAGTGGTCGGCCACGGCCACCCTGGAGGACAGTTGTGGGTTTGGGGAAGGGAGGCTGTGTCCAGCTGGGAACGGACTGAAAACTTCACACGGAGATCAAGATGCTTGGAAAACTCCCCCAAATATAACCGACTATGAAAAAAGCTGTGTGTTTGAAAGGATGTGGACCAAAGATGTAAGAAAGCTATTATCATTAAATCAGACTGCAGGACAGGCAGACTGGAGGAAATGTAGGCAGACTTGTGGTCGAGCTCCCTGTGTTGAGGATGGGAACAAAAAGCACCTCAAAGAAAGTGGCCTTTGGTTAGTGTAGGGCTACAAGTCAGGGTCATTAAAGAGATCATTCTTAAGCCTATTCCATTTACTTCTATTAATACCTGCCAAAAACAGGCAAGGCCAAGTTTCAAAGCCAAAGTTAAGGCTTGTAAATAATGAATTCCTTCTTGCATAGTTACTCCTTTAAAAATATCAACTTGCT